CTTACCATGAGAAGCTGAGAAAGGTATAGTGTATTTCATTTGTATAACATGACGTACTTCTTGTTCAATCTTAAAAACCTTGATGTTGCCATCAGAATCTCCAACATACCTGCAAATTCAGAGAGAAAAGAAGACATATTTATAGGTAAAGTATAGAGAAAGAAAACATAGGCAATACTGATTCTGATGACAGTAAAAGTAGATTACTCTCATATCTAATATGATAGAATCAGCAATTAACCAAGCAAGTAACTTGCCTCAATATGGTTCTTGAAATTTACATTGATATATTAAGGATGCCTTGATTCTGGACAAACTGAAGAAAAAATAAGGTTCATATAAGTACCTTGAAATAACTTTAAAAAAAAAATTACAAGGAAAAAAGAAATACTGATATGGCATTATTAATGATAGTATCAAGAAATCCAGATTGAGAAATATAGCATCATAAACATGTTAAACTGTCACGTTTCTTTCTCATGTGATAATTAATCAGATATGACTTGCCTTTAGTTGCATCAAGTCCATATTAATCTGTTCAACAGAGGTAACAAAAGCATACCTTAAACAGTAAGTGCATAGACAGCAAGGTAAACGATGATACCTTTTCTGATTGAAGTTGATTATTTACTGTCAAAGTGAACTGTGCATATCCACTCCAGCAGGGTAAACTTTCTGGGTCGGCAACATCCAAATACATAGACAAATGATCCACGATGTTACCTGTATGAAATTCAAAACCAATAGTATAAACGCTAAACTATCATCGCCAAAACAGAAAATCAAGGGGGAAAAGTGTAAATACTATAAAAAAGGAATGAGCAGTGTACCATTTAAAACCATCAACGATAAAATCATCTGAGAAAATCAAGGGATTGGGACTCTATTAACAAATCGAGAAGTAAAATCACAACAAAATCAAACAATTTTCTTCATCTTCTTGTCGCTGAAAAATAAAAAGTAATCAAGAAAAATTTAAAAATAACTAAATCATAAGCAGTAGAAACCGTAAAAAAATACGAAAGGCCAACTGAAGATATATCAACGAGATGCTTGTCGTTCGAGAGTGTAATTGGAGAGATTGAGATGGAACAAAGAGAGGATATGATAGCGGGTGAGAGAAATGTTAGGGTTTGAAAACGGATGTAATTTTACCTGAGATGGGCGGGATTGCGGGAATAAATAGTTAAATTTTTATTTATTTACTTAAGATAGAGCCAAAAAAAATAGTCGTTGCAAAGGGAGCGTAAAATTTGAAATTCAAAATATTTTTATTTGATTTATTTATTTTTCTTCAAAATTATCTCTTTTATTTATGAATAAAATTTAATTTTTTAATCGATTATTTATGAATTCAGTTTGATTAATTTCATTTTTTCTTTTCATTTTGATTTTAAAGTTATTTTCAAAAAAAATAATACAAAAACTTTAATATATGATTTTAAATATTATTTAATAAAAAAATTGTCAAAAATATTTTAATATTTTTTGTCGACGACGAATCGACGTTTTATACCTCACAAACCCTAAGATGAAAATTGTGATCCCACACGATTCCGACGGTCAATCGGTGATAACTACGACAACACATGATTGAGAAGGTGACAAGGACTATGTCGATGGCGATAGACTAAGATTAGGATTTGGGGTTTTTAGAGATCTGGGGCTGCTTTATAATTTAAGAGAAATTATGATTTTTTATAAATATGTTAATATTTTTTAAAAATAAATTTTAAAATTATTAGATTGTTACATGTGTCACTTGACAGAATAAATAAACGCCGTTCACGGCCCGAACACCTAAAGTGGTAACGTTGGACACCGGGAGCATTCAAAAAATAGTTTAGACACCTTTTATAAAAATATTATAGTTTGGACACTTATTTTGTAATAAACCTTATTCATTTCTCAGCAAAATACAAAATCTGAAAAAAAAAATTGTACAAATAACAAAACTAAGCACATTAAGCCACAGGCACCATGCAACTCGAGAAACAAGAAGCACAGCAGGGATAAAGGAGTGTTTTATACATATACATATACGTGTATACATACATGTGTCATACTGTATACAGTTGTAGTTATATTACACAAAATAATTTTTAAAAGAGTGTTTTGTAATTTATAATACATGAAATAAACCCATAATTTATATTATCACTATATCATTCTATTGAATTTTTAGAGAACAAATAAATAAGATTAATTTAATTATAATATGTGAATTAAACCCACGATTTATTCATGATAAAGAAACTAATAAAGATTTAGACCAATAATTTGTTTCATTACAATTATTGATTCTAATTCATTGATAAACAAATGAATAGTTTAATAATTCTCATGAAACTCGTGCCTTGGTGGTGTTGAGGGTAGTTTCAATCAAACATCGTTGTGTACATGATATATATATATATTAAGAGATATATTTAAATTTATAAAATTTTAAGAGTCGAAAATAATTTTTTAATAAAAAAAATCTAAAATATACGATAATTTTAAATTTTAAAAGATGATCGCCTCATCTACATCGTCTAAGTCCGTCCCTAATTGCGTATTAATATTATCAAAATCTCTGTAATAAAATTCTTTAATTTATAAACAATTTGTCAATCGGTCAAAGGAGGGACAACATCGAAAGTTGAAAATATTTGTACTAATTCATGTTTATCTACAAACCAGCATCATTCCAAATCCGCCTCTTCAAGAGCTGGAAAACAAATCACCATTAAGAAATCACCGTTGAAATCCACCGGTTTGTGTCGCCACCTTCACACCGTCGTCCGATCGTCTGACATCTGTGGGATCAATCGTCAATCAAGCGGCTCCCGATACCGCTAGCAGAAAAAATAAAATTAAGAGTGGGACCCGCAGTTAGAGGAATCTGGGAGTAATAAAAAAAAGTGTTTAGTGGAACTTTATAAACAATATCCAATCACGTGCTTCCACTTGTAACTCCGTCGGCGGCTGTTGTTATCTTTACCATCGCCGGTGTCAACTTGGGAGGAGAATAAAAAGGATCATTTTTAAGGAGGGAGGTTCCGAATCAAGATCATTATTAGCCAAACTACAAAAGCATTTATTGATAATAGTAGTATTTTATCTCTTTGGAATTTTAAATACAATGTCGTTTTTGCGGCGGCGGAGGAAGGGAACGGATTCGTCAATGTCCTCGAACTTTGTAGGATCCAGAATCGAAGACGAGGACGAGAAGAATGGATTGTTCTCGAGTCCCAGGAAAGAGAGGAATACTTCTCAGAAATGGTCGTGCTGGGACAGTTGTTGCTGGTTCATTGGTTTTGTGTGTTCGATGTTGTGGCTCTTGTTATTGTTGTACAACACAATGCCCGCTGCGATCCCTCAATACGTGACGGAGGCGATAACCGGGCCGTTGACCGACCCACCGGGTGTTAAGTTGAGGAAAGAGGGCTTGACGGTGAATCATCCCGTGGTGTTCGTCCTTGGGATTGTGACCGGTGGGCTCGAGCTATGGGAAGGTCACCAGTGTGCTGAAGGCTTGTTTAGGAAACGTCTTTGGGCTGGAACCTTTGGGGAATTGTATAAAAGGTACCATTAACTTTTGTCCCCTTCTTTTTTTCCTTTTGTTTTCCCTTTATGAGTTCTGCATAAAAGGTATCATTGGCCTTGGGAAGGCCACTAGTGTTCTTTTCTGATCTTGACTTAGGTTGGAAGTTATTAGAGAAAGTTCTTTAAAGCTTACTAATTTGCACAAGAAAATATTGCTTAATTGATTTCTATAGTTGAAGCCTTCTAATTATTGCAAATGCTTTTTCCTTTTGTTTTATGTTTGATTATGGGGCATTGGAAATACATCTCTGGATAAATAATGTATTTAAAGTTCAAAATATACAATCCACACACAAAAATAATTTATTTAAAGTTAGTTTGAAGGGATAAATATTTGGATATATATATAATTAAAGTTTATTTTTAAAAGTTCATTTGAATTGTACGTGTCTTGTAGGAACATGTTGGGCCCAATGCCACCATCATTCCACATTTCTTGTTTCCTCCTCGACTTATGGGTTCTCCATCTTCTCGTAACAATTTAGACTACATAATATTTTGCAGTTAAATCTGTTAACAAAATGTATATAAAAAACATATACCTAGATCGACCCAGATGAAAACACGTAAGAAAATCTTTCATAAACCTATTATTTAGTGTACGTATGTTTCCAGACCTTCCCGTAGTGAACATACATAATCGATCAATCATTCGCTAGGGTGATCACAAGTTGTGGGGCACCTTGGTGCTTCCTTAAAGTGGAACCTAGAGGAAGCTTATTCAACAGGTGAGATGAGACGAGAGGACATTACTGGCCGTGACGTCGCTCGTTATTGTTGATATCACAAATCGAAGTGTCATTTTGCACGTTGCCCATCCCTAACTCTCGATTCATGTTTATAACAAAAAAAGAAAAGTGAAAAACAAAGCCCTGTTTTCACTTGTATGTAATTATTCTAACTTTAATCCGCCTATATTTTGTGTCTCTTATAAGCCACACCATCTTACCCATTATCGATTACTTCATTTTGTGTCTCTTATAAGCCACTCCTTCCTACCCACCTTCTTACTCATTATCGATTACCTTGAAGTTTCGGCATATGATGTATTTAGGCATTTTTGGTATTTATATCTTTAAATTAACTCTCAATTATTTGACATTAAACGTTAATACTTCTTACATTCTTGGTGCCCGAATTTAACACTTCTTAAATTAACTATAATATTTTTACTATCAAATTCGCTTGGTTTGTGCTTATTATTTAAATTTATGTACATTTTCTCTCATAATATTTGATTCTAATTCTGTCTCTTAGCCTATATTTTCCTATTCTATATGTACTCAACTAGAACTAAGTGAAAAGGAAATGAATAGTTGAAGGACTAGTAGGGTAATTTATCAGATAAATAAATAAAATTCATCCACTTGATCAGTCTGAATTCTCAACTCCTCTCACCTCACTTCTTCTCTAGAAAGAAGTGAATAAATTATTAGTAATGAATCTAAAGAAGAAGAATAAACTCTTTCTTCTCTCAAAGCCAATGCTTCATTCTTTGCTCTTTTGCTAATGTGAAATTTCCATCTCTCTCTCTCTCTCTTCCTTCACTGAAAGAATGGCCAAGTATCACCGAAACGACATCGGATCCTTAGTCCTCGACCGTCATTCCACCACCTCTGCTGTTACCCACTTCCGACTATGTAATGCCTTCTCCGGCTCTTCGCTCCGAAGGAAAATCTTCAACGCTGTAAGCTGTGGCGCCAGTTCTCGCCATCGTCATCAGCTCATGCAGGAAATGCTCAATGAGGCCGCCCCTCAGCCTAAGCCTAAGTCTCCTCCTACCACCATCACAATAAGGTCGGTCTTGAAAGAATACAACGAACCCAAAAACACAGATTTCAAAGTAGTGAAAAAAGCTGTCAATAATGTTAAACCCGAGAAGCTCGTTGATCTCTTGAACTTAGCTAAAGCCGAAAGCGATGTTGAGACCACGAAACCAGAGTAACATTAGCTATGCTAGGAACTATTCCCCCATTGGTTGCGATGCTTGATTTTGAGGATTCTGATTTACAGGTCGCTGCTCTTTATGCTTTGCTTAATATAGGAATCGGAAATGACCCGTGAGTTTCTCAAATTTCCCTCTTTTAAACTAAGTAATCTCTTTTATGTGTGCGTGTTTTAAAAAAAAGTGTTTTTATTTTCTTCTAATATTGCTGATGTTGTTGATCTATTCTTTGAAACCCCCTTTTCATTGTATGAACAAAGCAACCATTGTTAAAGCAGGGGCAGTGCATAAGATGCTAAAGCTTATTGAACCCCCTAACGAGCCAAGTCAATCAGTCTCAGATGGCATAATAACAAATTTCCTTGGCCTAAGCGCCTTGGATTCGAATAAGCCTATCATTGGATCTTCAGGGGCTATCCCTTTCTTGTTAAGAACCCTTAAGATTTTGGATAAGAGAAGTGGGTCTCAAGCAAGACATGATGCTCTTAGAGCACTTTACAATCTATCAATCTCCCCATCAAACATTTCTTTCATTTTGGAAGCTGATTTGATACCCTTTCTAATGAATACCTTGGGGGGCATGGAAGTTAGTGAAAGAATACTTGCGATATTTAGCAATGTGGTGTCCACTCCAGAAGGTGGAAAAGGGATTAGTGTTGCCCCAGAAGCATTCCCAATTTTGGTTGATGTGCTGAATTGGACCGACTCCCCAGGGTGTCCAGAAAAAGCATCATACGTTCTCATGGTAATGGCACATAAAGCATATGGAGACAGACAGGCCATGATTGAAGCAGGCATTGTGTCATCATTGCTTGAACTTACACTTTTAGGTAGCACGTTAGCACAAAAGAGAGCTTCCAGGATTCTAGAGGTTTTGAGAGTGGATAAAGAGAAGCAAGTTTCGGATAATTTCAGCTGGAATTCAAGTGCAGCTGTGGCTGCTCCTATTTACGGGTATTCGTCGTCATCGACGAATCAATACAGAAAAGAGTGCTTTGCGTTTGAAGAAGGGATGATGAGTGAGGAGAAGAAAGCTGTTAAACAAATGGTCCAACAAAGTTTGTAGAATAATATGAAGATAATTGTCAATAGAGCCAATTTGCCACTAGACTTTGTTCCATCAGAACATCTCAAGTCCCTCACAGCAAGCTCAACTTCAAAGAGCTTACCCTTTTGACCCAAATATGAATTAGGCATTGAGATTTCCATCCAATAGAGAGATGTAAGAGCTTTGATAGTTAGTTACTCTTTTTTTCTTCAATCCCATTTTGCCTTTTCTCTTAACCCTTTTCTGTAGCTTTTGTCAATGTATGATATATACATAGCCGTTGTCAATATTCCATCATTGTACTTCCATAATCAGCATGGTAGAAGATTGCTACTTCATTTGACATTTTGGGGTGTGATCAAACCTTCAAATGCATCACAGTCTGATCTGCATTTCTGCTTGTCAATGCCTAATAGATTAATGTTATGTCTATATAGGTCCCTATCTCCCTACAACCAAGGAGTCATTTACTTTCAAATCCAACGGTACTATTTTGTCCGATGCCTTATATGGCCTTGGCACTTGTCCCTACAACTCTACCATTTATTTATATGTTTTCAGCAGAGGCAGCTGTCAAAAAAGCAGGTGTGGTTCATTTTCCTCTTCATACAAACAAGGGCCATTGGCTGTAATTTCTATCTGGTCATTTTTTTAATTACAACATTTCGATCATTTCATTAAGAATCTCTAGATTTACAGAGTGGAATTCCAACTTTTTTTGGACTTGTTCTGTATTAATTTTGTATAATTTATCTTCCTCCATTGACTTTGGTTACTAAGTGTGTGTGTTACATTATATAATTGAAATTACAGATGGAGAGGGTTTTAGCAAGCAACATGCCAAATAAGGACAGCAGGAAGAAGAATCCGAGTTATGGGTTACAATGGTCGGCTCACTGTTGTCGACTCGGGCTTTGTGGTATATGTTCTGAAGGGAAATGTGAAATTCACGTGGTCACAGAGCTGCTGTAGTGTTCTAATGATGATATTAAATAAATATATGAATTAATCAAATAATATATATTCTGCAGCTTTTCTGTAAGCATAACAGTAAGAAGATAATAATTTGATACTGTGGGGGCTGCTTCACATAAATTGTTTTTATTTCAACCCTTGCTTGTGGGTTGTGGGGGCAAGTAGCAAGACGAATCTATGATTTTACGTTAGAGGATAAACTTCTTGAATTTATAAAATTTTAGGGGATAATTTTTTTTAATAGAAAATACATAAAAAATTTAAAATATATGATAATTTAAGATTTTTATGGGGTGATCGCCCCCATCCGTACCGTCTAGGTCCATCCGTAACTGATAATGTAATACAATAATTGCTTGTATGTATGTTGGTAGCAATAAATATGCATGATAAAACATGTGCATCCCCATGACTAGATAGTGGCAAGCCGACGGTGCTGATCGCGGTCAAGCTCTATTTCTTTCATGTTTCGAGATATTCTTAAATCATTTTATTTATCGCTGATTCATTGTTACATGATCTATCTTTATTTTAGTTGTGTTTTGAGATATATTGAAAACTATTTGAAGATTTTTGTTAAGGGAATCGAACTTGTGTCCTCTAATGTGCACACATTCGTTACATTTCGTTATCCGTAAAAACGGATTCGACAAATCTCAAAATTCAAAACGAATGAAATCGTTACATTCATAAATGTGTTCAGAACATAAAGTGGGTAGCAACAACGGCTGCTCCGAATCCGACAATCGTCAAGACTTCCAACAACGGTTAGTTTAGAAGGAAAAACACTAATCATAAACCTTGGTAAAATAGGCTTCATAGATTTTCAATTTTGCGATCTTTACATTTTAGTCTCTAAAATCACAACTTTAAAATTAATCAATTTAGTCACCATTACAATTAAAATACTAATTTCCAAAAATAAAAATTAATAACTTCAAAGCAGTTAAACCAATTCAACCACTTCAAAATTATTTATTATTTCAAAAATACCAAATTATTATTTTTACCGAAAATCTAAAAACCGACCCAAAACCACTAGTCCAGAATTTGAGATATTACACATTTTCTATTACATAACCTAGATAACCAAAACGAGAACCCTAGGACTCCAAGTCAACCCCGTAAACTCCTCTGGACTCAACCATATTATAATGTACTAATTAATTAATTAATCCATAGGCGTTTTTCTCAATGCATTAGCAAACTTCCCACTCTTTGTACTTTAAGACTGAAAATACATTCTCCAAAATATTGGATTAAATTATACACTAACAAAACACGTTGATGATACCCTAATCATAAAAACATATATATTAAACAAACCAAGTCTCCCACTAACCCTAAGAAACAATTAAGTGGTGATATTTACGTGAGATAGGCGTCACACAAACGCACGTGAGGCTGGAAAGAAGTAATATCATTGTTCAGTTCAAGCACAAAAAAATAATAATAATATGAACGTACAATATCAAACGGTTAAAATTTTGATATTATTTAAATTTTTTTATGCTTGAGAAATATTTGTAAGCTTAAGACATCCAATTCAAAGCACGAGTTCGTGTTTGACACTTTCAAAAAGAACCCAAAAGCTAGTCAAGAAAAGACACATTGATGGAATTGCAAGAAAAAAATTTGAAGTACATATGGTAATTACACGATCGCTTAAGATGTTTTGGAAGGAGAATGCGCAAACAATGACGTGATGTTGTCCTTTTAAGTTTCTAAGCAGTAGTTGAATTCATTTAATAGTCGATTTTTCAACCCAGAAAAGCATTTGGTCTCCCTATCAATCTTCGAGCTATACTAACAAACAGTAAACATAGAGAGAGAGAGAGTAGGTGAGCGACAATAACAGGGTTTGTTAATATAGTATGAAGAAATTATAAAATTTAGACTCTTTGGTAGGAATAAACATCACATCTTCGGCCGCATTCCGGATTTCCAGCCGCCCAAATAACCTACTTGTTCACACTACTTTGCCTTTGGTCTAATTTTTGTGTTGCTCCACCTCTTTTGTTGAAGTTTTAGATGCTATTAACTTCCAAGACATCGTTTTGCAGTAAGTGCACTAGCTTCGGCGGTGGTTTCGTACATGTTTGAATCCCAATATGAGCACCCCGGCTCATCGTTATCATTAGAATTAACTATTACCATATTAAATTTATAGTATAAATATATTCAAAGTTGAATAAGATATACATATGGTGAACATTCAACTGAAATGTATAATTCAATTAGATAACCTATATATGATTTACATAGTATGAATTCAAGCCAAAATTATTCAAGTACTCAACCTTGCCATTAAGCCAATGCTTCATTGGCATTTGGCTCTGCGTCTTTATAAGGTTTCTCTAGCCAAAACCATTTGACATTGAATCCTACTTTTGATGAAGGAAATTGGAGATTAAAAAGAGGTGCAGCTGCTTCACTTCACTTCACATGGGGTTTCAATCGAGTATTGGTAGGAAATTGAATCCGACTCTGGTGTTAAGGTTCCGGTTAAAGATGAGGCCAGTTTAAACTTCAAGGCAAGTTAATTGTATTTGACAAATACAAGTGTGTAAACACTCATGTGAATGTTATCTTTAAAACAGAGTGGAGTTTTGGTGGAGGAATTGAATAGGGTGAACGCCGAGAACCAGAGGCTAACCGAGATGCTAACAGTTTTATGCGAACAATACTACGCTTTGCAGCACCAATTCAATCAAGTAAAGAGCAAGACCTCTGAAAACGAAGCTCCATCAAAGAAGAGAAAATCAGAGTGCGAGGATTACACGAACCACGTGATTGGATTCAGTGAGAGCAGCTCTAGCCATGAAGAGTGGAGCAAAAAGCCCAAGGAGTGTGTTAAACCCAAGATATCAAGGGTTCTAGTCCCCACAAATACCTCGGATACTAGCCTGGTAGGTTCCCCGCTGTTCAATATTTCTTCCCAGATTGAATCTTCTAATGATGGATGTTTACAGATTGTGAGGGATGGATATCAGTGGAGGAAATATGGTCAAAAGGTCACAAGAGATAACCCCTGTCCGAGAGCATATTTCAGGTGCTCCTTTGCCTCAACTTGTCCAGTTAAGAAAAAGGTGAGTCTTGCTCCTGATTGTATCGGGTATTTGAATTCAGGCTGATCTTATGGGTCAGAATTGACAGGTCTAGAAACAATATTTGTTTCTGATTGTTGTTTTCGGTATTGGTTTCCAGGTGCAAAGAAATGCTGAAGATCCATCGGTATTAGTGGCTACATATGAAGGAGCGCACAACCACGACCATAATGCTCCGGCAGAACAAGGATCATTAAGCCCCAGCAGCAACAGGGGCTCAGCATCTGCCCAAACCAAAGCTTCAGCTCCTAGGGTCACTCTTGATTTGATGCAACTAGCTGGATTGGGGGATGATACCCAAAATCCAGCTCAACTAATTGATGCACCAGCTATCCACCAACTCTTAGTTCATCAAATGGCTGCTTCTTTGACTAGAGACCCTCATTTCACAGCAGCTCTTGCTGCAGCCATTTCAGGCCGAGTTGTAAGCCAACATATGATAAGAAAGTCATAGTTTTTTGTATCTTCTTTTTTCTTGGCTCAGTTGAAAATGTGAAAAGAATATTCTATTGCAGTCCAGATATTATCAGAGCTTCCCTTCTCAATTACATACAAATCATAAGCCGTTCAATGAACAAATTAACATACAGAGACTAAAATGTCTTTTTTGAAGTATAGGGACTGAAATGAAATGATACATATAGTACAGGGACTTGTACTACTCTGTCAATCAATTTCTTTATATTCAAACTTCGCAGCTGCCAGCTGATAACTTGTCTATATATACTTACTTTTCCCGGTTTGGGCCAAAATAGAGATTCCCTCAAGGCAACGGGCCATCGTTTAAATGACTCGTGTTAATCGGTCATCACTCGTTTTCTTCTCGGAAAAGAAAAGAGAAAATTAACGAAGACGGGAAAGCTCAAAGTCCACGAGTTTGTCTACATCTGTCCACTAACACCATGGACCTCATAACCAGCAAAGTTGGTGCAAAAAAACAAAACAAGAAAGTGATGCATTCAAATAATTAATTAAGATCTAAGTGCTTACTTCAGTCACATGATGTCATACCCATTGCGTTATCAATTCCCATATACACTTTATTAGATACCCTATGGCCATGATTATGAAACACTGAAAAAATCTCTTTGAAAACTAGAAAGGAAGGCTCAATTCGCTTTTCCAATTTGGAAAACATTTCCAGAACCCACTCTCGTTTTCATTGATATAAATCAATAAGATTTTGCTTTTAATTTCACCTACTGTCATGGATGCACCACACTTTAACAAAGGGAAGGTTGATTATTACTTTATGAATATTGTCATCTTTGATATGCATCTTCCTTATAGAGATTTTTGTGATAAATTTTAGGAAAAATTTGCAGGTGGAAACAGAGTTGGAAAATTTGCAGAAAGAGAACCAAAGGCTTAGATTATTGTTAGAAGCAATGAGCAGCAAGTGTAACGTGTTTCACGAAGCCTATGTCCAAGAATCAAACAAGGGAGCAAGGCCTCAAGTTGCTAAGGCGTCACATGTTTTTGTGAAAACGGACCCTAGAGACAAGCTACTTTTCTTAGCATTACTGTGTGTAACAGCTAGATTTTCAGATAGTTAAAGATGGTTTTCAATGGAGGAAATATGGCCAGAAAGTTACTAAAAACAAACCCTCACCCCGAGCTTATTTCAAGTGCTCTGTGGCTCCTGGATGTCCGGTCAAAAAGAAGGTATATAGTAAAATTATATGCTCAAACTGAGCTTGTTTCTTGAACTTGTTTTGGGATCTTTGTTTATAGGTTCAGCGATGCGTGGAGGATGAATTGTGATGGCAACATATGGACAGCACAATCATGATGTTTGTTCTACATCACCAGGAGGACAATCATTGTCTTCTTCGGCAACTAAATTTCCTTATGCTTTAGCCGCCGCAGTTGCCCGCTCCCGAACTGCTGGACTGCCTAAACCATCAATCTCATTAACTTGAAAAGAAACTAAAATGCTAGAGGTTATTATAAAACCCGGACTCTGGTCTGAGTTACCGACATACAACAATTTTGTTACTTTAACTACGCCTATTTCCGACAACATAATTCGGTTTCTTCATCACTAGACTTTCAAGGAATATGTTTTGTTCATCGTCAATTGAGTTGGCAAAGCCTCATTTCATTTTGTGAAATTCATTTTCTTTATACTGATGAGTGATCTAATATAGTCAGTGGAACAGCCTGGCCAACTGGGAAGGTACTCTCAACCAGCCTAAGCAGTATCGTGCCAGCTGGTCAGTCCGGTCCATCACAGTCAAAAGGCTATATACCGAGTTATATATTATCACTGTTAAAATTAGGAATACTAATCCAGAAATGAGTTGGCTTTTCGTAGGTTGGTAGCTCCATATGTACACTTGAGTGTTGAGACCCAACTTCATACAAGAGAAGATGCTATTATTTTTTATCGATGATAATCTACAACCAATTCTTAAAAAGTATTCACACTTGCATTCCTTTTGACTAAAATTTTACACAATGTTTATATATATATACTGAAAAGGAGAACAAAAGTAAAACTATTATATAAAGTTGTGTTCCTATATATTTTACAACAAAGCTTTTTTGGCACCGTACAAGTAGCTTGAGAGGACCTGATATGAACCTCATCCATCGGTTCTGCTCCAAACCCAGAAAACATGTTAAAGAATTAATGCAGTTAAATAACTTACAATTTGAAATTAGTATTTGGACTCACCATTCACCACCTGCATGTATTTGAAATTTACAACTCCTCATTCTCGCAGTCTCATCTTAGACTACGCGTTCTTCTCCGATACATTTGTGCTCTAAGCTTCCAAGAGCTTTCCCTCCACTGAGCAAAACATTCAGAATGTCAGGTTAAGCGGTAGAATCCATCATTGAATAGCAGTGCTCGCGATTGGACCTTGTATCAAGTGCTGAGAGCTTCAGACTCCTTCATGGAAGTACTAATTTTTTGGTTTCTCATTTTCTGCCTCCTTAGCTTTCTTCTTATCATTTTCAAGTTGCTTGCAGTTTTCCTCATGTGCTTTGACAAACATCCTCGAAAAGCTGAGCAGAGTAGCCATGACTATAGAAAAAGTTGCAGACAAAAGGGAAAGTGATAAATCTGAGTAAAATACACTCTAGAGATAAAACTGCAGCTGAGATTCACAAGGGTGCTAATAGTTTTCCGAAAGCACAAATTACTTAAGATGGGAACATATTAGCACAAATGCTAGCTATGATATCCAAAGTAGATCAACTTTACTGTAGGCATCCAAAGTGACCTTGATAGCATCCTGATGCGAAAACAACAATTGGTTATAGATCAAGCAGGGGTCACAGCCATCATTTAGGACAACATCAGTCAAATTATTGCTTTCGGGGATAAGTAGAAATATTAGTACCATAAAAGAAAACCATTATATTTCCATTATCAAAAGTAACGAAGTGTAAACAAATCAGTTGACTTGATAAACTTTTGGGTCCTAAAATGATGCAGGGTTAAACATTAATTGGACTTGTTAAGACCAAACAACCACCTTGCTCAAATGGGCAACGTGCAGGATCTTCTCCAAAATAATGAGCCAATGCATCTGCATTTTTACCCTGAAGGCATCAATTTAGAGATGCTTATGAATTTGTTTTCTTGGTGGCACATCAAATATGCAAGAATAAAGCCTCCTTAACATAATGCATACCACGTAAGTATGAAGCGCAGTCAAAGACTTGACTTCCCCTTCAGCAAAACTAAGGAACTCCTTTACAGTCTGAAGATTATATAAATAAAAGCATTTACTGTTAGAGAAATATGAAGAATAAGAAAAATGAGAATTAGAGAGAGCACAAGTTATTTGAAGACTGATCCAAACGAAATATGATTCCCGAGACAAGTGATAGAGTTGTATAGTAGCTCAATGGTCATGGTACTCTTGATTAGCACTTGAACATTTTGAAGGCTGAAGAAGTGCTGCCTTTAGGCACATAGGCGTCAAAACGAATGAATATTTGGCAAAATAATTCGGAAGGCTGTTCACAGCAGTCCATTTTTATCAAAAGCCAACGCTGAATCATAGACTATTGCATGAGATTAAAGCTCAAGAGATTTTGATCAAAGTCTCGGATCAAAACAGCTCTAATCAAGTTTCTTTTAACCAATGTTGAGTTAAACTTCCCATTTAGCTTCTGCAAAGGCCAAAACTGACCTAATAATTACTAAAGATCCTGATTGAGAACTTTAATGCACCATCTTGTTCCTCTTTAAAGATTATGTATTTTAGTTAAGGGAAGGGGCGCGGGGGGAGAGCGGGTTTGGAGACTTGGAAAGCCAAGATTGTGGTGTCCCTAACAGGCACTGCATGAAATATAAGAAGAAAATCCAACCAACATGTAAATGTGCAGAACCTGATTGATATGCAAAATAGCAATTTAATATATAGGAAATACCTTACAAAATGTTGCAGACACTGGACCATCCTTTTCCGAGGCAGCTAGTTCTTGGATGACCTTCTCCAACCCTTTACTAATGGCTTGCATCTCGTCTGCCAAACATTTCAATTGTACCTGCATGGTAATCAATAATTTGCTTAACATCACATGGAAAAGGTTAAGCAATTTAAATATGACCTGAAAAGGCCATAAAAATCTTACCTTTGTTGCAGATTCCAAAGTCGCAAGGTCTTTTGGAAAATCTATTAATTCTGGCAACTTTTGGCTCAGGACCTAAAAGTTAGAGGCCGTAAAGAGTAAAGTATAAATCGACATTCTCACATATAATAAGGTATGGTTTGCAATGTCAATAAAAGCATTTTCTACAATGGCAATAAGTTAATGATTGCAAAAGTAAAACAACCCAACATACCATGCATTTTCTGCAATAATTTTCATGATATTAGTAACCTTTAAATTTGAAAATTAGTCTTCAACAAAATTGAAAAAGGATGCAGTGAATGTCTGCACGCATTCAAGCATTTTACTTGGTACAATAAGACAGGCATTCCATCTTGAAACATAAGTGTAGGAGTACAAGAATATTCAAGTTATTCAAACAAATTTAACAGGAAAGATCAGAATCAAGAAAATTAAGGTAGATGGTCTTGTACCTTACAAAGATAATGCATGAGAGTCATCTTTTTATTCCGAGCTCGTGTATCTGTGAGTTTAAGGAGACTATCCAACCGAAAACCAACAGCAGAACCTGTGGGGACGAACCATAAATTACTGAAATGTTTGGAGCAAATTGATGCTTCTTGAAAAATTTGTACAGATATGACATCTAGGGATTCGATTTCTATTCTTAGCAGTTAAGGTAAAAATACAGGATTACAGGACCGTGTTAAACATTTAAGAGACTCAATTAACAATAAGGAAACAGTGAAAATACACAACTCATTCAAGAAGAATAACAGAAGGCAAATCAGCAGTGAAAAGACTGACCTTGTTTCCCATTATCAAATTTATCAAAGCAGAATGGGATACAAAAAGATGACTAAAATAAGATAGTTCTTCATCTATTAATAAAATATACCTCCTCAGTTAAATCACTCACCCCTAGCAGTTCCTTGGTTCAAAGCATTTCCCAGAGAAAGAATAGTTTGCATGATCCTTTTCAATTTGACCGAATTCCTCACCTGGTGAATGCATTGGTGAAATGGTTTAAATGACTAAAATCTTCAGGAGAAATAATACCTTTAATTGGAAAAGCTAATTTATGTCCAAAAAAAGCTTAACTTGCCTCTCCAACAGCAGAGTTTACAATGTCCAAACTATTTCTAAGATCAGAAACCTGCAAAGGTGCAAGAAGTACCAATTAGGTGACAACAACAGTAGAAAGCATCTCATACCAATCTGAGTACACAGGTTCTCCTCATACCTGGGAATAAAATTGTATTTTGAATAAGAAAACTCTTAGCTTAGACTCTACTGGTGGCACTGTCATCAATTCTAGGAAAAACTGTCACCAAATACTGAGCAAGTAATCAGATTATATGCAAACTAAATTGTTAAAGAAAAGTGTACAACCCAAAGATACTCTGCTGACCTGTTCGCGTTTTCCCAAGTTTTCCCTGTCTCCCGTATGACCCTTAAAATAAAAATATAATCATCACCTCAAACGTGATTATTTGCATAATGTACACGATGCCATCTACTCTGTTATGAGCATCTAAAAGTCTTACAATCTGAAAACTATTACTTTAAGAGCACAGATAGAGAATAATAGAAACGCATATATTCAATACCTTGAGTAATTCAATCTCTTCTTTTGTAGGACAAAACTTAATAAGGTTCTCAATCTGATCAGGGTCTAATGCTGTATCATCTAAGGCAAGGATTGCACTCTGCAACATAGTGGAAGAGAAGCACAAATGTAAAACACCAAATGAAGAATATTTCAGGGCAACAAATAAGTAGTAGACAAAGGTGAAGTGTAAAGCAGGTTAATTCAATAAACGTTTTCTTGTTTCTTCTTGAGATTTCTAAGCTTTGCATTTCTGCAATGCTTGACATTTATCATATTCATATAATTTCACTTCTATAATTCATCGATAAAAGAATATATTTGAAATTGCAGATAAAAATATAAAAAAATGTTAACTACATGATTAATCATTTATGCTTGTGTTTTGCCAATTTCAAAAAAAACATAATAGATAGTAACTTTCGTTTTTATTTAATTAATATGTGGTCACCATGAGTTAACATTTAACAGATTAGTTGACGTGGTAGTTAAATATTTTAATATAATCACACATTCGGTCCATATTATTTACATATTATCTCAATTTAGTCATATTTTTAAAGAAATTAAAATAAATTTAATCATTCAATCGAATGATGCCATGTGTCACTGGTGCCACGTGTCGTGCACGAGTTAACAATTAACAGATTAGGTGACGTGGTAGTTAAATATTTTAGTATAATCACATATTTGGTCTCTATTATTTACATATTCTATCAATTTAGTCCTAATTTTAATAAATTAAAATAAATTTAATCCTCCAATCGAATGATGGCTCGTGTCACCATTCGGATGGAGGATTAAATTTATTTTAATTTATTAAAATTAAGACTAAATTGTGAAAATATGTAAATAATAGAGATCAAATATGTGATTATATCAAAATATAACGTCACCTAATTTATTGATTATTAAGAACAGTTAACCCAAAGTGACATCTTAATTAAATAAAAACTAAAATAATCATATATTATGTTTTTTTAAACAAGTAAGGAAAAGTGATCAAAACACAAGTTAACCCTATAAAAAATACAAATACTCAACTCGTCATCGTCCCTCACTTTTAAATTTTAAACCCTAACAGGTGAGAAAACATGCATGCATGCTTATCCAAAAAAAAAAACATGCATGCATGGTTCCATTAAGACAGAAGCATAGCTGGGGAAGTGGTCCTCGTCTTGAAACTCTTAACTAACGATACTGCCGCTTATCTTTTGAATCAAATTCATGCATTTCTTACAACATTATCGAACTAACCTACTATGTTACGTACAACAAATTCGTGTTTGGTTGTTGAGAAACATGCTCCACTTATACTTACTGGCAACTTATGTATTTATACATATATATTTTCTCTCTATTATTGAGTTTTCTTGTCTTCTCTTTTCATTATTATTTGGAGCCTAATCTTTATTTCTTAATTACATTGTCATCCGTTTTTACCGTAACATCGAATCGAATAAACTTTTTCCCACCATTCTCAAGGGAGAAAATCGAATTTTCTTTTCTGGGTTTTCTCTATTTTTTTCTTTCTTTTCTCTTTTTTTGGTATGGGAGTACTCGAGAGAATGGCAATGAAGTCAACTATGGTAGGAATGTCAACTATGGTAGGAATCCATTGTTGCTCACTAAACTTTTTGAACTTCTTTTAATTCATTTTTCCTCTGATGCAAAAGTTAGTGTGGATTTTTCTTGATATCATGTCTGATCCTGCTGTATTTTGACCTCTGAGATTCCTTACTAGACCCTACTTGTCTGCAATCAGTTAACGAAATTCCGACATCGTGGTAAGAAGTTCGATATATCTTCGATACTGATATAGTTCTATGTTGTTTGGTCCTGCCACAACAAATCAAGAAATGATAAGGGAGAAATCCTTGAGATTCCACCCTGTTCGATGATGAATTGGTGCAGCACAAGTACAAGTCAAGACAGGCGGTTTATGTAACTCCAACTGTTGGCTTTGGCGTATTTTCAAAGGTCCATGTTCAATGTGATGGCCATGGAATATGTCCAAGAAAATCTAAGCATCGATGTGACGGTCGGTTCGAGGGCGATGCAAACGGTATATGTTCGTTAGAGAAACGAGCGATGTTACGATAAATGTGAACCCGAAGTTTGATTCAGTTTATTCTAGTTTGAAGTTCGAATTCGAACGCATGTGAAGAGATGATGGAGGTTTTTTAGTTTGTGGCCGTGTTGGGATGTTGAGGCCATGTGCTTCGACCAGTTTTTGAAAGTAAAAAGTTTTCACTTTCTCCCTTGTATCGTGGGAGAAGATTGGTGTTGGCTTTTCCCTTTCGACTTTAACCCAACTCGACTTTAAAATAATCGAGACTCTTATAACTATCGAATATGATGATGTTTCTTAAAAAAAACAAATAGTTACTCAAATAACTCGAAAATAAATGAGAAAATGAGCTTGCAAGTTACAACATGAAGCCATTAACAATGGCTTGATTACTTTTCAACCAAGTAGTTTCATACACCGGTAGTTCCTCTCTGTACATTAATCTGGGATCTTCTTCATGAATGCATTTATGCCCACAAGGTCTGCAATCTTCATCGACAGTGACACTAACTGGGCAAAATTTAACTGACCTTTTAGTACCATTAAGTCCATTACTGTACTTGCTATTACTATTAGCTCCTGAAGAAGGTGTTTTGCTCAAACAAGACCTGGAGAATGAAGAGGGTGATGAAGCCGTCGATCTCGATTTTCGATGGAAACCGACATCGCCGGAAACACCATCAGAGCACATCTTCACTTTCTTGGCATTGGCATTGAAGATGGAGTTTAAGAAGCCGGTGATCCAACCACCGGGGGAAATCGGTTGCTTCACTTTCTTCAATTCACCATAGATTTTCAATGCTTTCAGCTTGGTCTTCGTGAGCCCTCCGCCACTTTCTCGCCTGGCCTTTTGCACCCCGTCGACGTCGTCGAACCGCCTACATTTATCGTACTTAACCGGCTTCGATCTTCTCGATTTCTCTCCATAACCCGACTCGGCTTCGGACGACGAGAAGACTCCACCGCCGTTGCTTGAATCCGATGAGCTCGAAGTCGAGTTGAAACGAACAGTCGATCGATAATCATCAATCATGATAGCACGTTTAAGACTCGAAGCCTTCCGACGACCACCCTCCATGGGAGCACCGCTGCTCTGTTTCTTAACAGGGTTTGCACTTGTTTTCTCCCCGTAACGGCACAATGCCGGCTCGTTTCCGTCGCCGGAATCGTCGATGGATCGATAAATGGCATTGAGAAGGGTCGAAGAGAAAGAAGGGGTTCTTCTATGCATGGTGTGTTCTTTCTTCTGCATAAACACACGAGCACACAATCCAAGAACAAGGGAAACAGAGATTTATACAGGGAAAAGAACAGGATGAAAGAAGGAGAATTAAAAGAACAGGGGACCGGAAATGGTTAATTTAAAGCTTTGATGTCTGGTCAGAGAGTGTCAAAAGCTGCAAAGACAAAGATTAAGAAGAGACATCCAAGAAGATCATGTGAAACAAGGAGAGAAAGGGAATACAAATGATAGAATATTCTTCAATATGAACTGGACTGTTTAGTTTAGAGACTGCATATATAATATTTTTATGTATAAATATTTGTTTTCCCATTTGTGTACGGCACTGAACAGTGAACGACGCGTAAAGAAGTGGGTTTAAATTTTATGAACTTATTTGGCTTAATAATTTTTTAGTGTCTAAATTATATCTCAAAATATGATTTGGGACTTAAATAATTATTCTACTAACAAGGCGGCTATTATTATATTTTTTTTAGTTTTTTAATAATGAAAATATCATTTAAAAAAAAATAAACCTCACCTCGCGTCGTCTCTCTCCCTTCCATCTCCCACCGCCAACAGTGAAGGATCACCATCGGTTAGGTCTTGTTCGGAGCAGGACAAGGAATTCAATGGTGACAACCGTGTAACGTACGAACGGTTGTAGTTGTCAAGATTATCAAAAAACAACAATGAAAAACCTAAAAATCTGACGATTTTTTATGCGTTTTTTTCACGACAATCTAATTAGTTTCACAGTGGGTGGGAAACTGGATTTTGATCATCACGGCGAGACGGTTATGATGGTGTCAACGGTGACGATCACGGGCCGATGGTGTCGATCAATGACGAAAGATATAAAATTTGAGGGTTTTTTTAATTATAATATTAAGCTTTTTAAATAAAATAAAATTTAAAATTTTATATGTGTGACACGTGTCAGATAACAATTAAATTTATCAGCAGTTACGGTCCAAGCACCTAAAAGTGTAACGTTGGAAACATTAGACACTTATTGTTAGCAAAAAATTCTTTAACCACAAAATCGTATTTTGAGATATAGTTTAGGCACTAAGAAGAGTATTAAGCCGAGTTATTTTGAAATTTTGGATTTTAATCTAGTTGATTTTTATTTTTGAAGGATAAGGTCGAATCTAAATCGATTAAAAAATTTTTGATCTAACCCGACACGAAATAATAGTATAATTATCTCTTGTATATTTACATATAATTGTAACAATATCTCTTTATTTTTTAATTAAGTCCATATTTTACCTAATAAAAATAAATTTTTTTTATATATTTGTGTAGCGTTAGGTCAGTTGCTAATTTTAATTTAAAAATTATGTCAAATTTTGAATTAGATGAAATCTTCTTAAATTTAAATCGAGTCAAGTGAGAGATTAAGAGGACATGATATTTGGACGAGTGTTGGATTGAGAGATATAATACTCGAATTAGGTTCAGATTAATAAAAAAATCCGATCTGACTTTGACATCAAAATTGATAATTAGATCAACAAAAGGATCAGAAGTGAACTGGTACTTTAGTTTGAAGATTCAAATGCATTTTAAAATTCAAGGTCTAAATTATAATTAAACTCGTAAATTAAAGATGTTTGACGTAATTAATCCAAAAAGGGGGTAAAATTAAAGAAAAAGGGAGAATGGGTGTACTTTGTAGTTGATGTAACCGAGGAAAAGAGTGTGAGAGTGCCGCACATGCGGGCGGGAGGGGGAGCCAGGCTGTTGCAGGTTTGATAGCTGGGTAACTTTTAAGAACTAAAGGTGAACTTGTAAGAACTAAAGGTGAACTTTTATCATTTATTTTTACCAGTTTGATGATGTTTTCGAACTTGTAAGGACTGAAGGTGACTTTTTCCCCTTTGTTGGGGTTAATTGTCAGCCATCAGCCAACAGCAAACAGCAAACAGCCAATCAGATATGAATGAGGTGCGTAATGTCTGGTCAATTTCTACTTTCACTTCTGTTCCAGTCATTTGTATTCTTATCATCCAGTGTTTACCCCCCTGAATCAGAAATTTTGGGTAGGGATGAATCCGATGGGTTTTTACCTAATCGGGTCGAATTTTTTAAAAAGATTTAAGTTTGGGTCGAGTTAGATCGAGTTTTTTAGAAAATATGTTCGGATCTGATTTAAATTTAGGAGAGAAAATATCTGACCTAACTCGACTAAAAAAATATAAATTTACTTAAATATTTATGAATAATTGCAATAATAACTCTCTATATTATTTTTTTTTCAACTAGATCATTATTTTTATTGAATAAAAATAATTTTTTTATAAATATATTTAGGGTAAAGTATAGTAATGGTCACTAAATTTTTCTAAAGATTTCATTTAGGTCCCTAAACTTTTAAAACTTACAATACAATCCCCTAATATTTAGTTCGTTTGCAATATGGTCCCTCAATATTTAGTCCGTTTGCAATATGGTCTCCGACGTAACTGTTAGGAGACCTTATTGCAAACGGACTAAATGTTAGGGGACTGTATTAAAAATTTTAAAAGTTTAGGCAACTAAATGAAATATTTAAAAAAGTTAAGTGACCATTACTATACTTTACGCAAAAAAATTCCGTGTCGGTTAAAACACGCGGACATAATTTGTTGGTACCGCCTCCCTCTCCCTTGTCGTTCCTCTGGTTTTCCTTTGCTTATACACTGTTGCTTAACTCCGCCCTTTGTTTTTCAATATTTTCTTCAAAACACCATCTTTTATTTTCGATAAAGTTCCAGTCTTCTCCCTTCGATTCACCAAAGCACAACCGATTCTCTCCTTTCCTTTCTGGGTTTTCTTCTTTGCTCTGTTTTGCTTCGGTTTTGTTAGAAAAAGAAAACAATTTCAAGGATTATTTTTGTGTTGTTTCTCTCTCCCATGATCACTAAAATGGCTTGAGTTTCGGTTGATCCTGCAAATAACCGCATTTCGATTTAATAAATAAACAACAGTTAAAACTTCTCAGTAAAACCTTACTTTCTCTTAGTTTTGGTAACTCCTTTAGCCATACCATACGCTCCACCTCCCTTGTCTCTAATTTTTTTTATTTGAAACACAAACAAAAAACATGGGTAATTCTGGTGGATTTGTTAGTGGTCTTGGTGTGAACTGGGGCACAATGGCGACCCATAAATTGCCTTCAGAAACAGTGGTTCAGATGTTGAAAGACAATGGGATTACAAAAGTGAAGCTTTTCGATGCGGATTCAAAGACTATGGATGCTCTTGCAGGGAGTGATCTTGAAGTAATGGTCGCCATTCCCAACGATCAGCTTCTTGCTATGAATAGCTATGATCGTGCTAAACAATGGGTAAGAAGAATATCACCATATATAACTTCAAAGGAGGTGTTAACATTAAGTAAGTTCATTCTTCTAACTTTTCTGATGTTAGATTTTTTTTAGGTTTTGATTTATTTGTGTTGACACCATTTTTAAGATTTGTTTAAGTTCATGAGAAGAAAAATGTTCTTGTCTTCTAGTGTGGATTTTGATCAATTTGGTATGATTTTTTAATGTATTTAGAGCTAGAGGTCATATTCTCCTATCTATGTTTGATAAAATGTTATTCAGATTCGAGTGTATATATATTTAAAGATCATATTTTCATAGTCATATCAGAAAATTTGTATTAGTATGTTGAGCCTTTCACTTTGTTTTCACAGGTATGTAGCTGTTGGAAATGAACCATTTCTCACATCCTATAATGGCTCATTTATAAACACCACATTCCCTGCTCTTCAAAACATTCAAAATGCACTTAATGATGCTGGTGTTGGGGACACCATAAAGGCTACTGTGCCCTTAAATGCTGATGTCTACAGCTCACCCGAAAGCAATCCTGTTCCGTCTGCTGGCCGGTTCCGGACCGATATCAGTGGACCTATGTCACAGATCGTCAATTTCCTAGCAAACAACAGTGCACCTTTCTCCGTGAACATCTACCCTTTCCTCAGTCTTTACGGGAATGATGACTTCCCCTTTAACTACGCTTTCTTTGATGGAGGAAACCCGATTGTCGATAACGGTATTCAGTACACTAATGTTTTGGATGCCAACTTCGACACGTTGGTTTCAGCTTTGAAAGCACTAGGCCATGGGGATATGCCCATTATTATTGGGGAAGTTGGTTGGCCTACAGATGGTGACAAGAATGACAATATGGCTAATGCTCAGAGATTTTACAATGGACTCTTGCCTAGACTTGCAGCCAACACCGGCACGCCTCTATGTCCGGGATACATCGAAGTTTACTTGTTTGGACTTATTGATGAGGATGCCAAGAGCATTGCTCCAGGAAATTTCGAGCGTCATTGGGGGATCTTTCGGTAGGACGGACAGCCTAAATTCCCATTAGATCTTTCAGGTCAGAATCAAAACAAGTTCCTCACTGGTGCAAAGGATGTGAAATATCTTCCACAGCAATGGTGTATTTTCAATCCAAAAGCTAAGTATAGTAATGTTCATTGAATTTTTCTAAAACTTTCATTTAGGTCCTTCAACTTTTAAAATTTACAATACAATCCCTCAATATTTAGTCTGTTTTCAATATGGTCCTTCAATATTTAGTCCATTTGCAATATGGTCCCCGAAGTAACTATTGGGGGATCATATTGCAAACGGACTAAATGTTGGAGACTGTATTACAAGTTTTAAAAGTTGGGATCTAAATGAAAGCTTTAGAAAAATTCAGTGACCATTACTATACTTTACCCATATATTTATTTAAAGTCGAGTTCGAATTTTATCTAAAACATCGGGTCGAGTTCAGATTGGATAAATTCACCCCTAAACTAGAGTTAAATCAGATTTTGGATGAAAGTTATATATTTTCAAGTCGAATCTATTTGACTGAAAACCCAACTCGACCCTACCCATATCCGTCCCTAGTAAACTCTCCATGAGCTCTTCGCTTCTTTTAAACTCTCCATGAGCTCTGTGCTTCTTTGAAGAAGTAGATGCAACTCCAACAATTTGGGCTAAT